ATAATGTATTTGTAGTTCTTGGCAAAATCAATCAATGCAATGCAACTGTCATCTGTTAAATTTTCTTTACATTGCTGAAGATAAGCTGATTGAAATTTTGCTATGAAGAGTGTGCTGTTAAACGATCAATATATTCGCTAGCTTGTATAATATACTCGCTGGAAGGGTAATTCCATGTCAACTAATCCAGGCAGTGAAACCATGATATCTTGGATTGTTTTGATTTTCACACCATAGTGAAATATGATCAAGTTACACTACTTCCCCAAATATCAAATGCATAACTTGAATATTTTTCAAGTTATCATAGTATGAAGATTTTGCTTATCTCAGCAATTTTCAAATTAAAAAAGGCGTCACTGTTCAAGCTGTCACTCTCTAAATGCGTATATCTCCTGTATTATAGACGACCTGTAGCTTAAATGAGTATCTAACCATTTCAGAGGCTGTCGATTCCATAAATCAAGTCAATTTTATCAGTAGGGGTAGAGGAAAGATGTTAGAAAGGTGTTTATTAATTTGCATGGTAAAGCTCACCCCCTGTTTTTGATTGCAAGTTTGGTGATATCTGAAGAAATGGTGATATCTGAAGAAAAGACAGAATCCAGAAATGGAAAACCTCTAGAACCAGAAAATCCAGACCCTACTTCAACAGAGGAAGAGGATTTTGAACTGTCATCTACAGAAAGATTAGGAACAAGTTTTGAACTTGCAGGGGTATCCCCAATTAAATTACACAGCTTACCTAAGCGTCGAAAGATATCAGTAGCAAAAGAAAAACTGGAAAGGCTGGTGCAGAACAACACAGCAAAAGCAGCGAAAGTTATTAGAGTTGATGTCCTACAAATGCTACCACAACAGGATCCTGAGATTTCCGTTACAAAAGTAAAATCCGATAAAGCTAAAAACTATGATGAGCTTTTTTACAACTTGAAAGAAAAAATTATTTGCTCTAGATACAGAGAGAAAATCCAAATCTTGACTTTAGCCCCTGAATCATGGCCAAGAGCAAAGGTTGCAGAGTTTCTTGGAGTTTCTGAGTACCTTGTTAGAACTGCAAGATCTGTAAAGAAGGAGAAAGGAATACTTGCCTTTCCCGCATCAAAGAAAAATTTCCTGATGAAACAGAGGAACTTGTAAGGTCATTCTTTGAAGATGATGAATACTCACGATTGCTTCCAGGAAAGAAGGATTATTTAAGCATTGCCAAAAATGAGCAAAAGCAAAAAAGACTCTTGCTATCCAATCTGAATGAAATGTATGTGGATTTCAAAGAAAAGAACCCAGCAATCAAAATTGGGTTTTCTAAATTTTGCAATTTGAGACCTAAGTGGTGTGTCACAGTTGGATCATTAGGTGCACACTCTGTTTGTGTTTGCACTTATCATCAGAATGCTATGCTTTTAGTTGCTGCTATTCGATGGGAATTAACTTACAAGGATCTGATGAAAATTGTGGTCTCTAATGTTGACAGCAAAGAATGCATGGTTCATAGTTGCAAGGACTGCCCTGGAGTTGTAGCACTACAAGCCTTTGTTGAAGAAAAATTGGCAGAACTTGAAGTTTATGAAGTGACACTTAGTCAATGGCAAAGCACTGACAGACCAACCATAATAAAATAGTCAACAGATTCTGCTTCTTACTCAGAGATGCTAGTCAACACAAGATGCTTTTGATATCCTCACATGTCATTCATTTATTGCAAAGAGCCAAGGGCAAGCTCTTAAAAAGAAAAAAATAGAGCTGGCTGACAATGAGTGTATAGTATTGATTGACTTTGCAGAGAACTATCAATTTATTGTGCAAGATGAGGTGCAAAGCTTTCATCGGAAGAACCTACAATGTACTTCTCACTCTGTTGCAATCTACTTTATGGGTGGTGACGGCACACAAAAGGAATCCTCTCTCTGCATACTCTCAGATGACATGAAACATGATACATGTTTTGTTCATGGGGTGCAGCGATTGACTACAGAGTTTATTAAGGAGACCCATCCATTGGTCACTTTTGTCCACTATTATTCAGGTAGATGTGCAAAGCAGTACAAGAACTTGTGCTTTCACCATGATGACTTTCTGTTATCAGCTGACAGGACTTTTCTCGCTACTAGTCACGGAAAGCCTCCATGCGATGGTATTGGAGGGACAGTCAAGCGCCTTACTGCAAGAGCCAGTTTGCAAAGGCCTATTCCTGACCAAATCTAAGGCCTAGATTCAATGTCCAGCTTCTGCTCTTCCAACACCAAGTCCATTTCCTTTCATAAAGTGACAAAAGAGCAAATGGTACCCATCAGAGAGCAGCTTGAGAAGATATATAAGGAGGGCTCCACCGTACCTGGCACTTGTAACTACCATTTTTATGAGCCAGTGCCAAATAGAGATATGGCTGTCAGGTAAGAGCGTGTCAGTGAAGATAATGAGTACCGTGGGGAGTATACATTCAAAGACATGCCAGTTCTAGAGGTTTTCCAGCCAATGCAATTCGTTGCTTGCACATATGATAGGTTCTAGTTTATTGACCTAATAGAGGACATTGGCGAAGAACTGAAAGATGCTAGAATAAGGTTCATGCATTCACATGGACCTACAACAACAGTGCATTGGCCAACTAAAGATGATGTCTGTTGGGTTCCTTTTTCAGAGATTTTATGTAGTTCACAAGCACCAACTACATATTCTGGTCATATGTACATTCTAAATGCAACAGATACTGAAAGAATAAAAAAATTACCAGGACAACAGCCAAATAAAAATATTGAGTAAAATTTTCAACTTGCAACAAATTTACGCATATATTTCGTATTCATCAATGCGGCCATCTATCTTGTAAACAAGCTTAATACCTAAAATGGCTTCAGACTTCAATGGGACATAACTTTGTCTCATCTATACATCAAAATAAAGGATAACCTTTACACTTTGCAAAAAATTGAAACTTAACCTTCATAGTGACCTGGCTACCCCCCAAAATTTGCAATCAAAAACAGGGCGTGAGCTTTACCGTGCCAATTAGTAAACACCTTTGTAGCATCTTTCCCTACCCCCACTGATAAAATTGACTTGATTTATGGAATCTACAGCCTCAGAAATGGCTAGATACTCATTTTAAGCTACAGGTCGTCTATAATACAGTAGATATACGCATTTAGAGAGTGACGGCGTAATATCTGAGATAAGCAAAATCTTCATACTATGATAACTTGAAAAGTATTCAAGTTATGCATTTGATATTTGGTAGTGTAACTATGGTGTGAAAATCAAAGCAATCTAAGATAACATGGTTTCAAATTGTAAAATCTATAGATGATTTGACATAGAATTACCCGGGAGTATTGGTACATGCCAAGCCTTAGACGATCCATTCTTTGCCCCTGTTGAAAGGAAAAGGTATCTTTCTCAATATTTGAAAGTTCTTCCTCTACAAAATGTTGCAGTGCATTTTTACCAGGACGTTTTTCACATCTGCACAGATTACATTTACCGCTTGTTTCGTTGGATACTATTTATAAGGTCACTTTCCAATAAAGTGCTTGAGCAAGAAGAATGGCATTTTGATGCCGAGCACACAACTTGGGACGCAAAGCACAGAACTTTGAAAATCCACTCTTGATATCTGGAAAACGAAATTTAGACTCTGTATAAAGATATGTCAAATTGCACAAGAGAATACGTATTTGGGCATGTTGTTTGTTGCCTAAGCTAACAAAATCTTTCTTTCTTGGCATCATCCTCGAAACTTCATCATTCTCATAAAATTATTTTACTTATTCCACTTTTGTTTCTGGCTGTGGTTTGCAGTGATTTCTTTCTGGTTCTCTAAGAATTCCCTTTTTTCAATTACGGGGCTTTAGTAACACCAAAAAAGTCAGCAACTTGTTTCTGTGACCAAGAATCTGGTGGTAATGTTAAGATCTTCACCTTTTCATGTTTACTTGACACAGAAAGTCTTTTATCAAGACATGGAGGTGATCTAATTCTGCTGACTTTGCTCTGCTTGAACGACAGTGGGAGCAGTCTTTAGCAGCATGATCCACATTGATGGCCTTTGCCCTTTCTAATTTCTCTTTAGCTTTAGCAACTTGTCGTTGTTAATAATAAGGACAATAATTTTCACTGAAAGCTATAAAATTTGTACAAAATGACACATCAATTACAACTGGAAGAAACCTTGACAAAACAGCAGCAGATATTTTACTGGAAAACTAAGCATTCCTACTCTTGTTTTCTTGCATTTTTTCCTTTGCCATTTCTCTGGAATTGCCAATCGTTCAGGAAGACCATCTTCGGACTTTTTTACTGCCATGAAAGCTTCTTTTTCCAGTCTTTTCAGTGATGTATTCACTTTTTGGAGCACAGCATAGTCACTCACATCATAGAGAATTGATGCAATGTTTTTGCATGACTCTCAAACACTCTTCTGCAAGAGAGCATAATTTTTTTGTTGATGCCACTAAAATTTGTTCATTCTCGCGTTTGTCTTCACGTATCTTTGTAACATTCTCATCAAAAGATGAATCATCGTTGTTTTCCATCTGTTCATGGTTGTGACAGGCACTACTGGTTTCATCTTTGCTCGTTGTACCAACGTTGCTGGCTTTAGTCTTGTACTTCTTGTCTCCTTCAAGGCTTGCAGCCAATCTATCATCACCTAATTTGTCATTTGGGATGTCAAGAACCTTGTTAAGCTGGAGAATTTTTGTGTCAACAATCACTGCTGAAAACTGTTCCAAGAGTTTTCTATTATTCTCCACAGTTTCATTGTTCAAATGAAAAGGCAGGTGATTTTCTTGTGGAACATCATCAAGTGACTGCAACTGGAGAGGCAGGCAGGTGATTCAGATGTGGAACATCATCAAGTGACTGCAACTGGAGAATTTCCATTGGAGAAGCTATTATTCTGCACTCCACTTTCACGAGGAAGAACTGTTTGCATGCAGCATACCTTGATCTGACATCTTGACCTGACCTTTCACCTGTTCACCAAAACACTGTCAGCAAAGAGTGTGCAGTGATCTGATACAGCAGATCCTATAAGAATTGTCAAATCCAAGCTTCAAAAGATAGAATGACTGTGATTAGAAAATCTATGCTATTAAAATTAAAGAATTGAACATTCAATTCTCATATTTTAAAAATGAATAAAAGCAAGCAATAACCTGTTTTAAAAAAGTCATCTAGTCAGTCATCTATAGGAAAGAAGTTAATTTTTTTTTGAAAAAAATATGATAACAAACAGAGACTGTCTGTAATGTACCTAGTTTTGGAACAAAATAAGCCAATTAAATGACACAAACCACATAACCAATTATCCAAAACAAAAATTCTATTTTTGTTTACATAAAAACATCACTGAGAAAAATTATGATATAGTTTCATCAAAAGGGCACGAGTCAAGGTTTACTCTTTCGTAATGTAATTTGACAAGTACAAAAAAGGCAGATCTGTAACCAAATTTTAAAGTATGTTAACACAAATTAAGATGATCTTTTTAAAAATATGAATTATTTTAACCTGTAGAAATTTCATGGCTGCATGAAGATCTCCTATCTCAAATGGAGATCCCCTGGTCTCCAAGTACTCCTTGCTCTACAAATAATTTTTCGTTTTCAATTTCATTTTTAGGCACAAATTCATTCTCATAGATGCAACCATGAAAAGTCTGAAATTTGAAGTTACGTTCAAATTAATACTTGTTTTAAAGCTGTGTGTACAAATGTATATAAAAAAATCGTTCCCAAAGACTTTCCATACATCATAAGAAGTTGAATCAAAAACTGGTGAATCTTAATTCATATTGTTTATCTGGATATGCATATGAGTATAACTAAGACATTTGTGTCCTAACCTCAGCACAAGAAGGGCAATATATTCACATAACATATCTTTTGATGGGAATTAATTCATTGTGACGTTGCAAATTCTGTTAAGTATCCATTCCTGTCATAGGAATGGTATCTCATGAAGGGCTTGTGTCCATAATTAAGACTGTGTTTATTCTACATTTATTCCGTATCCTGACACATTTCAAAGCTTTGCCCTTGGTGAATAGCTCTGTACAGTGATCAACAATTTTATCTTTTATTAACAGAATGTGTTTCTCTTTAACATCCAAACAAATTGATATACATAACAGAAAGGCTGCTTATTTGAAAATATATATCACCGTTTGTGTAGGCTTGTTTGTAAGATCTGTGGATCTATGTTGTATGTGTTTCTTCGATGTCGATGGAAGAAATTGGAGACATGGAATGTGTGTTGAGCAAAGGCGTGCCACAAGATAGACATAATCGTCTTGTTGGGTGTTATCCTCTATCTTTCTTGTCTGGTAGGAATTTCCCATGTTCCAGTTCATTGAGGTTTCCCGATGGTTTTTCATTTATTAAATCATTGCCTGAAACTTTATTTTGGGTTGTCATACAGGTCAACCAATGGAACATTAAATTTTGATGTTGCTCATTCTTATGGTGTACATTTTGCTTGTAGTCTATGTTGTGGAAGACTATCTTCCAACCTTTATTTGCTACAGCAAATTGGGTAAACCCTTTCTTCCTGATTTTTTCCAATAGTTTCTTCCTGCAATTCTGTTCTTTTTCTAAATATTTCTCCTGCTTTAGAAACTTTTTGAATCTTGATGAATCTTGTAGCCTACAAAATTCATCCAAATTTTTGTGTAAGCATGGGTGAGAGACAGTCAGTTTCACTTCTCTAAGTCTGGCAAAAGCTGCCTAAAAAAATCATTATGTCTTTATATTTAATAATCGAGATCTCAAAATGAAAAACAAAACTACTCATAAAGAATGCTATGTTTTACTAGCAGCATTAAAATTGGAGATTTCAAACAACTTCAGACGATATCTTAGTGACTTTTTCATATATCGAGGGGGTAGTAATCAAATGATAAACCTCCACCTTAACAAGCCAGAACATGCGTTGTTGAACAAATCCATTACTGGGCAGTTTCAACTCTGCTCTGGAACCTTTTTTCTGTAATCACTGATGTCGTCCATTTTTTGTCAATGTCTTCGAAAACATCATCTAATATTGTCTTATCTGCTTCCTTCAGTTCGCTTCTTCTTTCACTCAGTTCAATCTGGAGGTATTTTAGCTTTCCAATGTTCAATCCTTTCACTCCATCCTTCAACAAATTGTTGTCAGGTCTAACCAATTTTGTGAAACTCTTTTCGTATGAGCTCTGCGATTTCTTGATTTTATCTTTGATTTTATCTCTTCTGCCATTCTAAGTCAAAGGCAAACTTCACCTGTGGCTTGCAGTGGACTAGATGTTGGGAAAATCATTTCCCATACTCCCTAGCCAAAGAGGTTGAAAGATTATCTAAGATTCAACTCAAAAAAGCCAATATTTTGCCATGTTCATTTCATTTCAATACACTCTTAATTCGGTTCTGCAAGACTGTGTACCACAATGTTAAGGCCTGCTTCAAACGACGCGCTTCTCATGTGCCGAACCTAACTCGAGAATCGGTCATTGATTCAGGGAAAAATCCCATCTTACTTCCCCCAGGTAATCATTATGCCTTCTTATTAATTCAAGAGTCGCACAGAAAGGTATTTCACAATGGAACGCGTGAAACATTAAATTTGTTGCGTCAAACGTATTGGGTTCCACGAGGCAGAGAAATGGTAAAGAAATATGTTCGCAAGTGTCTTTTATGTAAGAAACTAGAAGGGTTGCCATTTCGTACAACTTACAACCCACCTTACTGGTCTCGATTTCGCAGGGCCCCTTGTGGTCAAGTATGCAGGAGACACCACTAAAAAGTGTTATGTTTGTTTGTTCACCTGTATGTCTACAAGAGCGATTCACCTTGAATTAGTAGAGTCATTAGAGGTTGATGCGTTTTTTAAAGCATTCCAAAGATTTTGCGGTCGTAGAGGGTTACCTTCTACCCTTTGGAGTGATAATGCCAAAACATTTAAGTCAGCAAGTATAGAAGTTAAGAAGTTACTAAGATCACCCAGGTTTTACGAGTCCTTGTCTCTGAGATGTGTTGAGTGGAAATTTATAACGGAAAAAAGTCCCTGGGAAGGTGGAGTATGGGAAAGGTTAATTAGAAGTGTAAAGAGGTGTATTATAAAAATCATTGGTCGAGCCCTATTAGACTTTCACGAAATGCGTACAATTCTCGTAGAGGTTGAGGGTGTTATCAATTCACGCCCCTTAACTTACGTACACGACGATACCGAGGGAATCTCGTACCCATTGACCCCCTCACATCTGATAAACGGGAGAAATTTGTTGCATTTGCCTCAATACAGATACCTAGAAATTGTAAGTGTTTATGAAACTTTATCTAAACGTGCAAGATATAATAGACTTCTTTTAGGTCAGTTTACGCGTAGATGGAGAAACGAATATTTATTAGGGTTAATGGAAGCATACAGACCCACCAAATATCAAGCAAAGCCAAATGTTGCAGTTGGAGATGTAGTGTTATTGAAAGATGAGAGCAAGAAAAGGAGTTTTTGGAAAATCTGCCGCATAGAAGAGCTCATAGTAGGTAAAGACGAGGTGGTAAGGTCAGCGATTATCCGACTAGGTTCAGACGATGGCAAAATAGGTAAGAAGACTTTACGTCGCCCTTTAAAGTTACTAATACCATTAGAAGTAAAAGCTAACCATTTGACAAATTCTTTTCAAAATCCTCCTACGCAGTTGCCATTGCAGCCAGCAGCGCAATCGCCTTCGCAGCAGCGTACGCAGTTACCTATGCAGGCAAACACTAGACCTAGACGTAGAGCAGCAGTTTTGGGAGAGACAGTTCGAAGACAAATTATGCATTAACGTTTTTGCAGCATATTATCTTTAACTTTGTTATTGTTCTGATTTTGTTATGTGTAATCAAGTAAATTCAATACTAATATCTTAAGTTAATTTGGGTTTGATCATGTCATGATTCAAACCGGGGGAGTGTGTTATAATGCGTACGTCACAACCTCGTTTTCGTGCTAATGCGAGATAGGTGTGACAGTTTTGAGTTAGTTGAGTTGACGAGTTGAGTCGAGTCGAGTTCGCGAGTTATGGAGTTTACAACAGAGTTTTGAGTTATTGCTTTAATAATGTAAATAGTTGTTATGTTTATGAAAATGAGATAAAACCAAGTTCAAGCTCATCTTTGCAGCCCACGTCTTACAATCCTCACAACACATGGCGCCACATTAAGTACAGGAGGGGCGCGACGTTTGAATCAATTTGGTACGGCAGATTCAGTTAGGAGCGGCAGACTAGTTTGGATCGGCAGAGCTGCACCGCTCCAGCACGGCACGATTTCAAGCGTCGAACTTATCATGTTCCGAACTCAATGCATAATTATATTTAATTTATTTTCCTTCCCAGAATTCATTTCTTTCTATGAGGGCGCATGCGTTTCAAACAACTTTTTGGCGCAAAACATTGGCGCGATCTTGGACATCAAACTCAATCATGGAGTCGGCATACGCGAAGGTTTGCTGTATTTGTTCGTGCAGCACAAAATATCGCTGAATTTCTTCTAAAGTTTTTGTGTGAAATAGATGCTCTATTGCAGCACTCAATGAAACAAACACCAGTTGGATTCCTGGACAGCAAGTCGGGTATTGTATTGATTGTACTGATTGTCATGCCGTCAATGACTATGAACAACAAGAGGAGAGCAGTACTCCTAGTACTAGGACTGCTGGTGAACAAAATACTGCGAGAAAGATGTCATTGTCATCTCCATGTGGGTCAGCAAGTGCAAGGTATGGCTACATATTATTTTGAATTTGATATTTCAACATTTTGTCATCGAATTGATGATGTTATGAAAATGCAACCATAATGTTGCCCAACAATACAGAGCAACTGAGGAGTCAAGTTTATCTCTCTCCCTGCCATCCTTCAATGTTGACAAAAATTTCCCAGTTCATTTTAAACAATTTATGCATTTCAACTACCAACCATTTCAGTGACCTGAGATATTCAAACTGCAAATCATGATTGTTGGGTTTGGTTGTATACATTGTGGTCTGGTAGAATAATTTTGTCAAAATTGAGCCTAGTCTTTCATTGCAATGAGGTTTCTTTCAATAGATGGGTTTAGTCTTCAGATACCTAGGCACTTTTCTCAAAGTTTTGCCTTGCCTTTTTTCAGCAGACATTCTACACCATCTCCATCATCATCTGCTGCAAACTTTCACAAAAGCGAAAGCCAACATGATGACTTTGAAGATGATGAAGGCTCTGAGGAGGATAAATATATAGATGATTTACTGAAAAAATTCACACACAAAATTGGAAAGAAGAACAAGAGTTGAAGGAAAGCTCAGTGGGATGATAGTCTTTTGCCTGATATGATAGACATTGTTGTAACTAGTGAATATTACAAAAGGAAACTGATATTTGCGATAACAAAGAATAGAAAGAAAGGGAGAATATTTTGAAAAGGGCAACAAAGATCTACCTTTCGAAATGCAGAAAGCAAAAGCTGGATAATTACAACAGTTTATCGAAGAAACCAAAGCTAGATAAAGAGGAGGAAGCTGAAGAAAGCTCTGAAGAAGAAGAAAGTGAGGGTGACTACTTATTTTTAAATTATTTTAAACTTGTTTTTGTGCCCAAAGAAAGTGTGTTAATTTCGACATTTTTGTCCTTTCTCTACCCATTCCTTCTCATTTGATTGTTAGCTCAATTCCAAAACAAAAAAACAAAGCTAACGGTAAGATATTTTTTATGAATATCTGCTAAGATATTCACAGGTAATAGAATTTGAGTAGGGTCTAGGGGTAATAGAATTTTTTTTTCAATCCAGATATTTTTGAGTGACTAATTTAATTTAACATCTTTAAGAAAGAACAAGAACAGTTTCCCTGTCAATTACCTTGGTTTCCGTTCAGTTTATAACACAAAAGGTCTCCTTAAAAGCAGCACCCAGTTCTTGACAACAGGGATGAGAAACAACCGATAAAAAGGAGTTCGCATCGCATGTGCAAAGTAACTAAGGCGTGCGAAATGCCGCACACGGCCTATGTTCATATTACAAAGACTCCACTATTCTCAAAGTTTTGTCTCACCTATTTCAGCAGACATTGTTCACCATCTCCATCATCTGCTGCAAACTATTACCATGGCAAAAGCCAACATGACGACTTTCAAGATGAGGAAGGCTCTGACAAGGATCAAGATACCGATGAATTACTGAACAAATTCACAAAGAAAAATGGAAAGAAGAACAAGAGTTGAAGGAAAGCTCAGTGGGCTGATAGCCTTTTGTCTGATATGATAGACATTGTTGTAAGTAGTGCATATTACAAAAAGAAACTGATATTTGCTGTCACAAAGAATAGAAAATATGGTGCCACCTATGGTAATGTGCTGGAGGAGTTCAAAACACGTGCAATTGCAAGAAACGAGACAGTTCCTTTCACAGCAGTGCAGCTACGCAATAAATCCAAAAAGGCTGTTGCAGAGTGTAAAAAAGCTGCATTGACTATCAAGTCTGCAACTGGAATCAAAAGATTCCAGGATGAAAAGAATTATGGCCCTTGGTTCAACCAATTGTTTGGGCTTGTCAAGACACCGGATTCTTGCCAGCCAGAACAGGCCATTGAGCCATCTGCTGATACTCCATCACCACAAGATGACAGTCCTGAGAGCTCAGCATCAGTGCATTCAAATGAGAATATGTGTGTGCCAATAAATCGATCAGGCAAGAAAAGAAAGAATGATGAGGTCTTACATGAGATTCTTGGAGTTGTGAAGAATATGCTGGAAAATGATCCAATGAAAAATTATGTACAGTTTGCAAGAGAAGAAGCAGCAGCTGCAAGACAGCATGAGATGCGAATGATGCAAATGTTCGTGGCTATGCAGCAGCCTCAACAATTACAGCAACCACAGCAACAGCAACAACAACTGTACAACATGCATGCCACTAATGCAGCAAGGTTGAACAGTAGTTTTTCACAGACTATTTTGAGAAAGAAGCACAAGAAGATAATCATGCATACTTTTGAAGTTAAAGCTGTATTTTAGCAATTAACAGAAACAAAACAGAACGTAGCATACAAATTGAATAAAAGAAATGTGAAGTATTTGGTGGGCTGCAATATTGCGTTAACCTAGATCATCATGAACCAAATTTTTCCATGCAGCCAAAAGTCTACCTTAGATCATAAACCTTTCCCCATTGAAATTTTTCACTTGATGCATTAGCTAAAAAAGGATTTTCTCTGTAAGAGCTTGTATGGGAGTCTTGCCAAAGTGACAAAATCCTTAATCAAGCCGCTTCAGTATTTTAGCCTTCCCAAAGTTACAGGAACATGTGGTATTATCAGGGGATCGGGGGAGAATGACATAGGAAGTAACACCACGTGTACCTGTAATTTTAGTGAGGCTATGTTGCCAAAGGGGTTTGGTTGAAGGTTGACTCCAATACAAAATCTGACAGAGAAAATCTTTTTTAACTTACATATCAGGCCTATGAACTAAGTTAGACTTCTGGCTGCAGCTAGACAAATATATTTCACAATGATGGAATGGCCAAATCTGATGTTACATTCTACTATTTTTTTACTCACCCAGTATGTTTACAAATGATTTAAGAAACTAAATGAAACTAAAACAGAGTGTAATACAGGCTTTTCATAAGCAATTCAAAAGAAACTCAACTTAATGCAGGCTTTTGCTTTAGTAATGGGCGGAAAGAAAGTAAAATATGATACTTCCTTCTTATAAGTGAAGAATAGAAGCTATAGAAAGAAAAAAGTACAGCAGATCCAAAGATGTCTGACTGTATGTTTTTGATAACAAACTTTTGGTTTGTGCAAAGTTTGCAAAGATAATTTATTTGCGCAAAAGTTGATTAAGCAATTCACTTTAGTGCAAGAATTACAATGCATTCTCTACTGATTTTGTGTCAATTTTTTTGGATTTTTGGCAGTTTTGATCCTGGTCTTTTTACTTGAGTTTCTTATGAAAACAACCTGACACTTTGCATATTAAGGGACCATCCTCAAAGTACGGAGGGGGGTGAAAGCAAAAGCGTAAGGTGCATACAGGAGGAGAGGGGATTTGTCAGTGTCTCTTTCCTTCTCTGCCCAAAATTTGGCTGTGAGTGTTGTTCTGATTTTATTGGCTTGCGAACATCCTTTAGGTTCAAATGATTGTTGTCCCGAATTTGTTGAAGATCTCTAGTCTCATTTGTATTATGGTCAATGCTTAAATCCAACTTTCTTGGGATAGTGTCGCCCATAGAAATAGTAGAGCTAGAATGCGCGCTCTATCGTTCGCCTATTGTTTTCTGCGTAATGCCAATGGGCAGCAAAGATGGTAGCAACATGTTGGCAAAAAGCTGTTGTGGCGTACATTGTACACCAATAAGAAGCTATGGACTTACCGCTTCTGCGTGGTGATACGAGAAGACAAATTTCATGGAACCTTTTCAGCCCCTAAATAGAAGAAGGTAAGGCACTTATTTACTTTTTCCTTACGCCACAGCGAGTCGTTTTACGGTTTTTCTTCGTATTTTGTTTGGACTCCTTTCTCTGCCAAATTTCCTTTCGTAGGCCAACTTAGTAATTAATTATGTCTAAATCCAATTTCAAGTTCATTATAATTAGACAACCTTTAACCATTACAAATGAGTATGCGATATTATTTTTGAGCAGTACTTAATAAATTCCTCAGGTTTTTGGGAGTTGGAAGTTACTGGTAAACAAAAGTGTCAACAACAGCGTGATTCAGTGTCTAGAAAGTCTTGTTGAAACTTGATGCATTCGGGGCTTAAATTTGCTTAAATTACGTTGAAATCAAATCCCAGCCACTAGGTTTGGGCAATTTCCAAGTTTTGAATCAACATGTTCCAATTCAAATGAATATATGTGAACAGCGTTGTTGTTTTCAGCTGAAATGATGTGCAGTAGAACGAGACTCCAAGTGACTAAGAATCCCTCCCCCAAACCTTAAGCAAAAGCAGATATGAATCTAAAATCCAATCGCTAGAATTATTTTATCCTTGAATATGGTATCTTAGAACTAAATATTTACATTTTTTTACAGATTGAAGATAAAGATGGCATTTCCTCCATCTATAATAAAAAGCCCACCAGGTTACTTAACCGTCGCCTGGCACTCGGCATTACCTCATGGTACAAGTTTTATAATATTTTTTGAAATTATTTCTTATTGTGTAATATTCTTGAAATCATATTATATTATTCATTGTAAAACAAAATTTGCTTTGTAAGTTTATGCCTTCTTGAAGACTGATTTCCTTTTATTATACGTTCTGTATAGACCCTTCCAAATTGGTGGTAAAACAACACAAGGTAATTCTTAATGATCTGTTTAATCAAAATTGTGATATGGTCATCTCTAAGGTGTTCATCAAGGACATGACAGTGTTGTGAGTGCTCTTGTAGAGATCTGAAGGTATTGTTTTTCATTTTGTGCAAGACTGATGATGTTCTTTTAGCATTGATTTCCTTTGAAATACATTGCCACCTGCATAATTCTGTTCTAGCAAGTTTGTCTGTACACTCAACTATCTTGTACACTGACCATGATGGAACCAACAAATTTCCATACCGTTTGCAAGAAAGAAGAGAGAGGTGGCTCTGGTATCCATGGTCACCTGAACTGTCAGAACTTTGATAAAGGGAAACTGCACAGTCTGGACAATCTAATGATTCCAAAATTTTCTTAACAATGTAGCCTGAAATGTAGTGGAGGACATCAGATCTCCAAACATTGTTTGTAAGTAGCATATTTGAGATGTTCGAGTCAATCTTATTATCTGGAATGTTTTTAGAATTTTCAAAATCAATACAGTTTGCTGTTGATGGAGATTCAATCTTATTTTTTAGAAGTAACTGTCTCAAAGCATATTTGAACTGGAGTGCAGTTGGATTATTGTTCCAACCTAGTCTACTTCGAATTTTGGAAAAGTACATCTCCAGTTGGTCTTGAGAGAAGCGATAAGTTAGAACATACTCAAATGGTGCTTCTGATCGTTCTAACAAGCCTCTGCTGATTTTCAAGATTGAAATTGATGAGACAGCAAAACCGAGAATAAAAGCCTTCCTTGGACCATTTACAATAGGCCGGCCTGCTGTATCTTTAAGGGATTTAAGGGTCTCAATTCCATTCAGTAAATAGGCTTCTATATCATAGAAATTGTCTAAGCTTATAGGCTTCTTTGTATGCTTTCCAAATTAACTTTTCGAGTTAAGCATATCAAAGATATTGTTCATCAGAAGAATGAAGTCGCTGGTTGCTTTGCTGTCCTTAAATTCTTGCAACCCCAGATTTCTCAAAAAAGTTATTGCAGATGCCACAGAATGGCTTAAAGTCTGCGCTGCAACACTGACCTTCATTTTATGATTCTGCCACTGAATATGATTTGTCTTGAGTTTATTTTCAAGATTAAGTATGTCATTTTTTTGTGTTATATAGAGTGCAAGAACATACTCCCAAGATATTCTTTGTCCACCTAGGGTACAAAAGATCTTGAAGGTGGAAAAGGCATTTCTTGCAAGCTTCAGCATGTGGCAGATATCAAGAATTACAAAGATCTTTTCATTGGGGTTTGATGGATGTGAAAATGATGTACCAAGGTGTTTTATATCACATCCAAGTTTCTCAGCCATGCTAACATTTTTAAGAGCACCATCAAAGATGACTGCATGAACTTTAGCTCCTCTCTCAGTAAGGAGATTAATTGCTTCACGTATGAGCTGTTTCAATATATTTGCATTTAGGTTGTTCGTTAAAAAGTACCCAATAGGGACATACCATGGCTTTTGTAGCCCTGAAGCCATTAAAACAAGAGCATTTGTTGCCATAGTGTCTGGGGTTTCTGCCTTAAAGTTGCCATAGTCAACATTGCCAACAAATTTGGAATTCTTCTTATCCCATTCCATTTGTTTTCTTATAGCCATTTCATCAAGCATTAGTACACAGTCCTTCTGCCCCTCTTGAACCTTGCCTGCTACATATTCAAAGGTTTTTTTCAAAAAACCTGGTTCACAGTCAATGTTTATAGACCAAGACCTTATTGTTGCTGGGTGTGGCAAATTAAGTGACTTTCTGATGAACTTATAGGCTCTTGGGCTATAGAACTCTTTCATTTCTTCAGAATACCTGGAACCAGACCCTTTTCTAAAATTCTGTGCTTCGTTTCTGAAGAGCTCTGTTGTCATATGCCCAAAGTGATCTGCCAACGACTTCTGATTTTCTTCAGAAAGCAATCTATACTTATGAAGCTGTGTCATGAGACCGTCAATAATTTCGGGACCTGAGTTTGTTTATTATTTTGTTCTTTTGATTAAGCTTTTTCTTATATTTGTCTTTCATTTTCCTTGGTGAAATAGTTGATGCATATGCATGATCGAGTTTGACCTGCTTTGGATCAAGTTTGGGTGGTGTTTCTGCTTGCTTAGGATTAGACCTTTTAAAGATTAGAGATTAGGATTAGAGAGTTGCTCTTTTCTTTGTACATGGCTTTTGCAGATGTGCAGGGAAATTGAAAACAGAGGGGACAGCATCTTTATTCAAATACTTTTTACCTAAAGACTCTGAGTTTGGCATGGAGGGAGGATAGCTATAGTCACTTGGAAGAAAATGCTTTTCACAAATTCGTTGCGATAAAGAAGGATGCCAATGTTTATGACGTATTGCAATTAGCCATTTATGTAACAATGACTGATTCTGAAGTGGAAACCTGTTTAGAATTGGACTCATAGTTAAATATATAACAGTATTTTTTGTAAAAAATATATGGTTTGTGATTCTTCCACATTATTTGCATAATTGAAAACTAAAGACTTGCTTTTGAAAATACAATTTTGTAATATTTGGCAAAGTTAACATTTTGATCGTTTTATATACTAATAAATGAAAGAGAATTGAGCTCAAGATATTTGTCTGTCTTTGAATTTTAGAAAAATTATGAGCTGCTAATCTAAAATGAATATTGCTTAAAATAACCTGTATTCTTGGAATTCATCGATTCTGGCAGCCGAAAGCAGCACACGACACTACCATTTTCTTATCTTTAAACGCTGAATTATCTTTAAATGTTGACAACAGTATATTAGATTGATAAGTGAGCCAAGCGCGTATACGGTGATACGAGGCAATACTGTCCGCTGTGATTTCCCGCGTATTTTTTTGCCAACTTGTTGCTACCATTTTGGATCCTCATAGTTCGCACGCGTAACGTGATAGACCGCGCATTCTAGCGCTACTATTTCTATGGTGTCGCCCATCTCAAGACAAATGTTATGCAGTACCATGCAAGCAAGTGTGAAGTTCTTGACTTCTGTATTCTTGACTCTCGGATAAGTTACTTCCAAATGACAATGTCAGTAAAATGAATCGTTTCAATAGCAAGATTTGTGACCAATATTAATTCAAATTCAAATTTCTTTATGTTTATTTACCTTGTAAGAATGTTGTTTAATGACATGAAATTTGACTTTGAATTTAAATTTTAACACTGTCCATATCCCACCAATATAAATATGTAATGAATTTCTTGGCAGTGGAAATTCAGGCTTTCGTTGGAGAGGAGGGGGGTCTCAGGCATACTATTTTCAGACAAGATATCATCTTGCACGGAAAAGATATCGTCTAACGAGGATGCTGATTAGGTTGGTCTGAGCCACCCCCCCTAATTCCATGACCCCCATAATTTTTGCCCCTATCTCTAGGATAAGGAAGTCAATCAGGCATCCTCTCTTTAAACATTTAAAAGTCTTTAAGCATTCGGTTATTATTTTTTACTAATAATGGTTTGAATTGGGTTTTAGCTATCGCTAATATCTTCATTATTTTTCTAAGATTGTATGCACAGCCCCCTAAAAAACAGCCTCTCTTGTCTGACATTTTAGACAAAAATAAGGGATCAAAAAGGGAGAGTTATTCTACTGAATGATGTATTCATAAAGAAAAAAAATTGATAAAGAAAGATGCTTATTTTTAATTTTAAATTGATTTATTCATTGAAGGTCAACCTCAAACCATGAATATCGAGGAAATTACAGAACTCAGCAAGAACAGATCAATAAACAGTGGACATCACTCAGGGAAGAGTTGCTGCTTGAAGCAATTTGAAATGCTGGCATGCTCAGTAATCAAATGTGCATGATTTGTGAGAAAGAATATGCTTGCCTTAGATGTGTTGACTGTGGTCCAAACCAATTTTTTTGCAAAGAATGTCCCCTCCTGTTCAATTGCCATAACTAAATTACAATTGAATCATTGATTAAGTTACCTCATTAGTATATTCCATGAAAATCTTTCGATCTGTATTTCGAACGGAATTTTTAGAAAGGCGAATCGTTCTAATGGGGCTCTAACGAGTCGGGGTCTTTTCGAAAGTAATAGCTTGCCCCTTCATTAAAAACCGTGTTTGATGAAAAGAAATTTATCCAAAATCTTTCTAAATCGTTATGGTTGTAAAATTTCAATTCAGTCTTGCATGTCCCACTAATTAAAAGAAGAGACATTTTATGGTGCGCATTTTTTCCCTTCACTTAGGAAATTTTGAGGTTAATGAAATGAAAAACAAAAGTGCAATATTTTTGGATTTGGTATTCATTGGAACTATCATCAAAGGTTTGGTTTCTCACGCCGTATCTCAAACTGTTGGTTACTTCTCCACAGCGCTGTTGAAATAGGTGCACATTTTATCTCCCAAAATCGCGGCGCTCATTTTTCCCTACATTGGCCTTATTTGATGAACTCTTTCAGTATGCCTCTATTTTTCAATAAAAATGCTTCTTCACCAATTGTTTATGACATGACCATCTTATTGTCATAAGGTCTCAACAGCAAGGCCACACCTTTGCCACCATATTGGCTTAAGTTTTGCATCTGCAAAAATAAAAGGCAATCAAGTCTGTCATGAAGTGCTAAAAATGCTCTTCTCCACTACATACACACCAACTTGTTTACGTTATATATATTTTGCTCACTCATAGCACTTTTAAATATCTGTACCTCCTGGTCTATTCTGTTGAGGGTAGCATCAATCAGTTTTTCCTTTGGCAGTCTGTCAAATCTTCTAATGCTGGCCTGTCATGTTGCTTTGCTTTTTCTCTCCATGATAACTTCTCAGCTTCACCCAGTTCTTGCCACCTTTTGCTTGCAGCAACATTCTTTTTAGAATTTGACATTGCTTTTCAACTCTAAAAGTAAGATCAGCTACTCTTCATATCTTAGGGATATATAAGTTAGGACAAAAAATTATAATTAGGGGGCAAGCAGGGGTTGTACTCCTTGTTGTAAGTCTTGATGTCAAGTGTGTAATGTTATGTTTGACTTCTGATATAATAAGTTAGAAAATTAGAAACACTTTATGCTCTGGGGTTAGTTGACATACGGATTTCCAACCACTACATTTCCATTCTAATATATATCACTACTCTTCTTCATCTTGGTATTTCACTATTTTGCATTTTTATTTTGATCTTATATTGGACATCTATGTTGTTGTGCCTTTTGGATTTCTATCCAGGTCATGCATTACATCCATTTGCATCTACCATTGTTCCCTATCCTATGTCCAGTCTGCAGAGTGTGGCTTGTGCACACACAAGATTTTCTAATGCACACAAAAACATAGGGCTGCACACACATTTTTCTGGGTACCGGAAAATTTTCAAGGACCACCCTTTTTGAAATGTTAGAAATGTTGACGAATTGGGACTTTAGTATTTAGTAATTGGGACAACTTTAACTTGTGTTGGTCAGCATCAAAACCATCTGATTGTCACAAGTTGAAAAAGTTGCTGTCCATAACTAAATTAGAAAACATGTACCGCTTTTGCTATGTGCATTTTGTGACCAGCTGATACTCTCCTCCTGATTTGAAAAGCTCTAAAATGCGAGTACATTGAATAAGATACGAGGCACAGCTTTTCAGGGTTGCTCAATGAAATTTGCAAGCTTTGTGAAGTTAGAAGAAGGGGGTGTGGAGGTACTCCCCCAGAAAAGATTTTAAGGACCAAACCCTATAGATTATCTCAGAATCATCTCATATCTCAGTATTTTGATTTGATATTTTGAAATGACCTATGCTTGCTCCAAACCCATTGATGCCCAGAATTAAAAATCTACTGACTAGCACATTCCAGTTCTCTGAGAAACTACAGTCTTAGGTTTATTCTCAATTTCCTGAGCAAGGGCTGGTAAGAAGAGGCCTTGCCGGTTACTGAAAATGGTAATAAAAAGGACTTAATCAAAGAAAGTAAGATTATTCAGGAAACTACAGTAGCTGGCTTGTGCTCAAGCATGATTATAGGGTTGCATTTCAATCCCACACCCCCACTTGGAAGTTTGACTAACAACAAAGAAGGGGGGTCAAAATAATTGAAATTTTCTCAT